TGTAAGTAGTCCATCTGGTGGGGTCTGAAGTGAGTTTACGCTGAAATCCAGGATTTGATTCCCTGCAATGGACAGAGAGCAAATAGCCCATTTATGTAGCTTTGATTCATCAGTTGGATGACACACTGTAAGTTATAAAGATTAGACTTAGGTGAGTTGATTCATCAGTTGGATCCCCTCCCTGTATATGATGTTTTTACTCATACCCCCCATGTTCATGGTCTACTGGTTTCCCCCCCATGTTCATGGTCTACTGGATTCCCCCATGTTCATGGTCTACTGGATCCCCCCCATGTTCATGGTCTACTGGATTCTCCCCCCCCCCATGTTCATGGTCGACTGGATCCCCCCCATGTTCATGGTCTACTGGATTAATCCATATTCCTTTATTTTACTTAAGTACAAGAGATATATTCGTTGTGTAAATCCTGGATCCTCATAATGTGGATTTATCTTTCTGATCTGAATGTATACCCAATCTATTGTAAGTGGCAACACACTACTTCTAAAATGAAAAACAGTGTCAAAACGTAGTTGTGATACATTTTGTTCCACTGTATCGGTTGTGGTGGTTATGTGATTTGCATATTTAAAATAATTTTATTAAGACATACTCAACTTTTTTGTATTATATGTCACAGTTATAATTCATGTTAATAAAAGTGACCAGTCTATTTGTGGCTTTATCTCTTGTTATAGAAGGTTAATAAAAATGACCAGTCTATTTGTGGCTCTATCTCTCGTTATAGAAGGTTAATAAAAATGACCAGTCTATTTGTGGCTCTATCTCTCGTTATAGAAGGTTAATAAAAGTGACCAGTCTATTTGTGGCTCTATCTCTCGTTATAGAAGGTTAATAAAAGTGACCAGTCTATTTGTGGCTCTATCTCTTGTTATAGAAGGTTAATAAAAATGACCAGTCTATTTGTGGCTTTTATTAACCTTCTATAACGAGAGATAGAGCCACAAATAGACTGGTCATTTTTATTAACCTTCTATAACGAGAGATAAATTGACCAGTCTATTTGTGGCTCTATCTCTAGTTATAGAAGGTTAATAAAAATGACCAGTCTATTTGTGGCTCTATCTCTCGTTATAGAAGGTTAATAAAAATGACCAGTCTATTTGTGGCTCTATCTCTCGTTATAGAAGGTTAATAAAAGTGACCAGTCTATTTGTGGTTCTATCTCTCGTTATAGAAGTTGAAGCAGATTGTTTTAGGATCACCATTCCGAAACTTTAATCCAGAATGGCACCATCAAAGCTTTACCTTTTCAAACCATAAAGATTTAATGTATGGACTTATTCAGAGGAAGGTAAGTTACATTTGTATGTTTGGATACACACACTTGGTAATAGTCCTCTAACGTTTTCTGTAGTGTTGCAAAAAAAAGTCAGATTTTACCTGGCATTAATCAAAGTGTTGGCCAAAGTTTGATATACGAGATGTTGTTTGAAAAAATATATATAATCTTTTGTTTTTAGTGAAATTTTTTAATTCTTTTGACAGACAGAACTGTACGTTTCTATTTATGTAAATAAAATAATGACCTGTATCTACAGTGTATCTTTATTAGCTCAATATGTTACTACTATAGCTTCATCAAGAGCTATTGACAAACTACAAGTTTGGTAATTAAGTCGTAACTAAACTGGAATATCAAGCTGTAATAGCAAAATATTGAGGATATATAGATATGTTTTGGAGATGGTGATTGTTATTCAATTTACCCTAATAAAAATCTCAAGTAATAAACTTAAGTTGCTTAATTAGGCAGTTTCAGTGCCTAATCTTTCTAATTAAAGATTACTATCCTACTAATTAGTACTTTGAGGCCAAGCATGGCCTATTGGTGTTCTGACTCACAAGGCAAAATAAAAAATAAAAACACGTTCCATATTTTGGGGTCTTGAGTGTGTTGTGACAATCAAATCTCTATATTTCATCTGACAAGATTACCCCCAGAGTGGGTGGTGGGTGTTGTTCACTAGCTAGCTACTTTCTCTCTTAATCCATTATTTCAAAATAAGGGTGTCTTTGTGAGGCGTTGCACAAAATCCAACAAATAAATAGACGCTCTTAATCGTGCTTCATGGTGCTTTGCTGCAAAAACACATTCAGACTTTAGGGCCATGGGTATGCTGTTCGATCAGACAAGAATAGCCCAAGAGTTAGTGGTGGATGCTGCCTTCCCTCTATGTCTAATCAATTTAAAATTAGGGATAGCTATATACAGGTATCTGAAAGAATAATGAATCTACTACTTACTATCGACTGTATGATATTATAATTTTTATTTTAAATCCAGAGTGCTAAGTGGTTTAAAGGAGATGTTTTCATCTTGCAGGGTGGGCCATGTGGAGTTCTTGCTGCTGTCCAAGCTTACATTATCCTCCATTTGGTGTTTGGAGATGTACCTTCATGCTTAACAGATGGGAAGTAAGTGAATTGTTAGAAATAACATACTTATAATTCTCTCAGTGTATTGTCATTATGAAATCATTTTAACACAAATTAATACAATTTCTTAAATGTTGCCTGCAGTAACTTTTTAAAATGAATTTTAGACATTTTAAAAAGTTCATTTTGGGGTGATATTATAGGTTTTATGACCCCGGTTGAGTGTTGGGGTGACATTATAGGTTTTATGACCCCGGTTGAGTGTTGGGGGTGACATTATAGGTTTTATGACCCCGGTTGATTGTTGGGGGTGACATTATAGGTTTTATGACC